ACTTGCATGAATTCTTCAATTTATCCCAAACTTCTATGGCTTTGACTTCTAAAAGTTTGCCGAAACACTATCCCGTACCAGTAATCTTACGCTGAGAAGATCTGCTATAAAAAAAGAACAATGAAATTTAACTAACACTTCTTGCTAGAATGAAGAAAAAAGCGAGCTTCCACGCATTCACCTAGTAACTTTGAGCGTAGGTTCCAGCGGTGTCACCTGTTATTGTGAATTAGCGTTCCCATGCTGTTTTGTTTACTTTTGTTCGTGGTGCGACTTCCTTATAGGAAGCTTACACTAGTTCTCACTTGATGGTCTCCTGACAGCTACTATTTCGACCCGTAGGCGATGCGAATGTTTCACAAATTCGAGTTTGAGCCCCGTCCAAGCCCGAAGTTTTGTCCACAAATCGCCGATTTTGTAAGCTTACACTAGTTGTGTATGTGTCTTCCTATCGTGTTTACTCCATTACCTTCCGACTTCCCTGCAGGTCAGGCAAATAAATAGACGAGTAAACAGTCACGTGGGTAAGTAAATACATAAATAAACAAAAAAGTATGTAAATAGAAGAATAAAGTGAGGAAGAATAACAAATATAACCATATAGAAAAAAGATTATAAGATTTGTACTTACCAGCTTGCAAAGATACATTAAATACCAGAATCCTTTCGTCATAAACTTCCCGAAATTTGCCATCGTAAGAAGTATTAGAGGAATACCGAGAATCGAATACAGTATACAGAACATTCGAGACGAATCAGTCGTTGGGCTAATGTTACCGTAACCTAAACTGCTTCATTCAGAGCATTTGAATAAAATGCATGTGCTGGTTGACCAGACTCATGAGCTATACAGTAGAATAGACAAGAAAGACGGCCTTACCTATTGTGGTCAGCGTTCCGAACTCAAACTGAATTACATCCAGAAATGAACATTTGGCAAGCTCTTGATCAATGGATTGGAAAATAACCGCACCGACGAGAAGATATGCGGTTAAAAGGGACACAAGGAACAGCTGAGGAACTGCTGCACATAATATCTGAAATGACCTCACTGGATTGCTTGAAGTTACTTTCTAAATTCCCCCATTTTTTGAATTTCTATGGTGACACAATGCTCTTTCAAGATTTTCCTACACACGCTTCCATTGAGCGGGGTTAACTAAGTTAAACTGCTTCTTCAGCTTAACCTCCGAGTCAGAAGTCGGGATTGACCAAAGCGAGTAAAGAGCTACCTCGCCTCTACTTTAACATTACACAGAGTAAGTCAGATGCAAAAACCAGTAAATGTCTAGGCAAGCTCGAGTGCGTGGCGTGTCTCGAAAAATGATCGTGTGTATGATTAGCCCTAGACGATCCATTTTTTAGGCTACGAAATGAATGACTCTGGGATCAACCCAAGTTGACTCGTCATATTCTACACTTACATTACCTAAAAAACTAAGGAGCAAACGAGGCAGGTCCTCAGACTCCCAGGTATAGAGTATTTAGGGACTTCACAAGTACAAATGATTCACAAAAAGATGCCAAAATAGTGGGAGTTCTCCTCACAAGCTAGTTCATTCGCCGTTTGAATCAGTCGATGACATTTCAGCGGTTGCGTTCGCTTATTGTTGTGGTTTTTTCAAAGTTCATATGTTGTGATAAGGCTATGATGACGTCCAACGCTAGGAGCGGGAATGAGGCACGTATGGAGCGATCGCAGAAAGGTCCGATACCAATGCCAATACAATAGAGTGGGGAGCAGCAGCCACCTTCCACAGTGAGTTTTCATTTTCAGAAAGGTGCTTAACAAGGAGCTTTCCCGATTCACATCCCACAAATTGCACAGCCCTTTCTGATCAGTCCGAGAGGCCCAAGTACTAATGAGAAAGCAGGGGATACTTCGGGATGACTCGCGAAAGTACTTTTAGAGGGTAGAGGAGGTATTTATTCGGATAAAAGGGGTGGAATTGATAAGAAGTCCATTTCCAGCAGGATGACTGAAACGGACACGCCGGGCCGATGGCTACTCAGGCAGCAAAAACAAAGTCATGAATGTAGTAGAAATCTTGAGGTCTCCCATGCTCTGTGGTTACATTTAAAGATCTCAGAAGATGAAAGACCTCAATAACATGAAATTCGCTCGAAAATGTTCTGACCGCATTTAAAAAAGAAGTCGACCGTTTGGACATGCTCAGCCCGTCCGTAATGGAGCAGAAGGCATCCGGAAATCGACGAAATCAAAAGCGACGACGACGACGACGGCAACGACGAACGTCTCGATGAGCGTGTGTGTTGGGAGTGTTGTGTCAAGACGACGGACGCTGTACGCCGATACCGCCGGCCGTCAGCGTGATCGTCGTCGTCCTCCCCCGACCGAATGAACGATTGATCGATTTCGAATTGGCATGAAACGGGTTGCGCACTCTCACTCCGACCCCTACCATCACAAAAAATCTCAACTGGTGGCCTTTGACTGTTCTCTGAATTCGGGCTGCCCAATTTCTCCTGCTTGTGTCAGTGTCGTTATCACTGGTTGCCCATGTATGGCCAGTTAATCATCTTTCACAAGACTGCTCGACCTGGTAATATCATGTGATCGACTGAACTAATACTCAGGGATATTCCGCATAAATCGAGCACATTCGGTTTTTAGTATTCCATAATTCAAGGATCTTGTCTACAGGAGCTGAGGCTAAGAAAGTCTTTCTCAGATCATGTTCCAACCGTCGCCTATACTTACTACTTCAGGTATGCTCGGGAAGGTGTTCCTGCTCGATTGGCAGACATACAGGCGGCGTAAAGGCGACACGTGCTTGGTGTCACCTTTTGGAAACGACCTGAGAACTGTTTAAATATGTTTTACTGAGTAATATGTTTACTTCTTCGCTCTAGCAAAGCTCTTAGGAGAGATTATTATGAATTGCTTTACGTTTCGGTTAATTCATTCTCCTTCAAAAGGCAGGGTTCCATTGCTGGTAAGTTACCTTACCAAATTACTTCATCAAAACCTCGAAGGGCACAACGGTTTCAACCATAAACTTCACCAATAAGTACACCAGCGGTTTCACTGACAAGAGGGAAATCGTTTAAGCGTACACATGTCCACATCAAACAGTGCCCATTTTCATCCTTTACTCTATTTAATTTATCGAACTTGGCTCTTCTTGATCCCTTTCTCTCTTACCCTACTTTTCAGTGAAAACATTCAAGGCTCCAGACAATTTAAGCCATCACATCTTCTAAGCTCGTTGAAGTAATGTGGATAGTTGCAGAGCTGTTGGTTGACTGGCGGCTCAAGGGTATGTTTTCCGCAAGTGACACTTTACGCTACAAGCCCATTCTGCCATTAAACGATGGCTATCGTGGAATTCAGAAAATTCCTTCTCCGGTTGGAAGGACAGCGGCACCCATCGATAAAGAGGGGCTTTAGATTGATGGCTACCGCTACCGGTCAACTGGATAAAATCGGGTTGCCTCGTTGCCTTTGCTGACATCATGTCAGAAACTCTCATCATTGTACGTGGACTCCTCGCTGCGAGCCTGTTTCATCGAGGTGACGACAAATCGCGATTACCAACCTGTTACACTTCGGCTTAACAACAGAAATCGTTCCTTCAACCTCCCGTGGATCCCTGTTGCCAAGCTTTTCTATCTGGCTTGCTAGACTTCATTCATATCATTCCTCCTTGTCGGAACAATAAATTGAAGTCCGCTTTGAATTCTCTTGAAGCAACAATGAATTTGAAAACTTTATTTACTTTCCCATTGTGTTTCAGTATGCGTTCTAGTTCCTACAGTATACGAACTACACTACTACAAACAGTACCATTGTCTACAAATTCCCATCTACGCCTATTCAATGAAAAGTTTCGTGCAAAGTCTTCCTCATAGGTAACGGTTAGCGGCAGAAAAGCGGTTACGTAAGCCTCAAAGTGAAAATAAACACTGATTACAGAGGAATGCATATAAGGAGTTCAAAGTCTAGGACTCCAGAAAAAAAAGGTTGTGTACCAATTTTTTTTNNTTTTTTTTCCACTTCTGCCAACTTCTTAATCGCCTGCATGACTTCGAAGTCCGATTTTGCATCGAGCTATGGTTGTATGGAAAGACGTCTTTGCCAGTAAGTATCTATTGAGCTTCCTTCACTACAGCACCCTCACCACTCTAAAAATCCATACCTGGCCATGAGTCCACATCCTACTTTCAGAAAATCCTTCTCGACGGGGGGAAAACGCTTTCTACATAGAACAGTACTTTCCTCATTGAATATCCCCAGGAACCATTTTTCGGGTAAGTATTATCCCTAGTTCTCTCTCTTCAAACTGAAAAGTACGGCCTCTTCTGGGCGACCTTGCAGCACAAGCTCGAATTACAATCAGTCATCAAGCTACCAAGCCCAACTTCGCGACAACGCGACGAGTAGACCTACCGGGGATCTTTCTTGTGAAATGACCCGGTAGATCCTGATTTTTATTGCGCTGATACATTGGGAATTAATGAAATGGGTTATGTCGATTCTGACACGAAATGAAGAGCTACGCAGAGTAGTAACTGCTGATGAAAACGGAACTGTGCTGGACGGAAGATTTTTCAAATTTCAAACATCTTCTTTTGCTGCATGAAAAAGAACGTCCACTCATGGACCCGACTGTAGCCGAGCACCCGCTGAGCGTGGATGACTCGATTGAGGTCAAGTGAATTGTGCTATTCAGTGAATTCAGGTGAGATAGCTGGGTTAGGGGTGATCTGCTCGAAGAGCAAAGCCGAGAAATCCTGACCACTTTATATATTTTACATTAGCTTTATTCCTTCGATAGGCACAGACAATTATCGAAATATACAATTTATGAGATCTTTAAACAAAAAGCACTTTAACTCTTATCAATTTTCTTTCCAATTCCGGATATTTTACCGGCTGATGCGAGCCATGTGACGGCCATCAGCGATGCTACACCATAAACGGTCAGTACCGAGTAATTCAAGAGCAGTCCCACCAATGTTGCAAGTACCAGACGAGTTGAATCGAAGACCAGTGCGAAACGACTGAAACATCTCTTTTAGGCATTCTAAGTTCAAACTCAGCTATATTCCAGTTGGGAACAAACCTGTGATCAAAATAGTATCCAAACATTTGTATAAAGGCTATTAGTAGGCCGAGTTGACAAAGAAACTCGGACCAGCTCAGGCATAAACGGTGTTTGTCAAATTGGATTGCACAAGAGATGAGAAATATCCATTGTACCAGTAGATAACAGCGAAGGGCAGCGGTCAGTGGAGGATTGTATGGAACAATGGGCTTCTCGATCTGAAGAACAATTCATATTCATCTTTTATCATCTCGCTGGAAGGTAAAATTCTTATTATTCATTTATAGAGCCAATTGGGGGATGAGAATGCAAAAGCCCTCTTTAAATGTCACTCATAAGTGGAATCCAAGAAAGGGTCAGTTGATTCCTTGTAGATGGCTGGTCATCCGAGCCAGCATTTTTTAAATGGCTTTGTTAGACCAAAAGGTAGTTCTTGTAGTGGGAAGGCTTACCTCGGGTATTCCCTCAGTGTTGTCCTCCATACATAACCATAAAAAGAATGGTTTCGTTCGGACTCCTGGAAAATATCCCGGTGGCCAAAGAGCTGCTTTAACCTGAAATTCAAACATTAGTGATCACTTTCAAGAAGGTCCGGCTTTCCATATTTAGAAATCGCCTCCCACCTTATTCCACCAACCCGGGAATATCTCCTCGTTCTTTTCGTTTCTCATCTGACCCTTGTCATATCCAATGGCTTTGAACTCAAAGAACTGAAAACGACTGTTCTATAGCATTATGACTGCTATGGAATGCGAACCAGTTTCATACAAACCTGACACCATAGCTGGTTGAATGACGCCACCGGCGAGACTAAACCGTATGCGATCTCTTCGTCCTTTCGTTCTGGTTCATAGGTGCCGAAGAGCCTTAAAATAGCGATTTTCAACTTTGCAGTTGCGAAATTCGCATTTTGGTGTTTAGNAATGCGAATCAGTTTCATACAAACCTGACACCATAGCTGGTTGAATGACGCCACCGGCGAGACTAAACCGTATGCGATCTCTTCATCCTTTCGTTCTGGTTCATAGGTGCCGAAGAGCCTTGAAATAGCGATTTTCAACTTTGCAGTTGCGAAATTCGCATTTTGGTGTTTAGGCTCCATCGTTTTCAACCGGAGGTTCTGATAAGGAACAGGCTACTCGAGAAATCGGTGGATAATCGTGTTCTTAGGCTGGATTCTGGAGCCGCTGCTTTATAGCAAACACGCGGAGGTCAAGCTTTGTTTCAGGGAACCTTTTTGACACTGCATACTATGGAAAATGACAAATTTGTGGGACAATGGGGGTTTTTTCGACTTTTCACTCCCCAATTTATCACTCAGACGTCTACGCGATTGCATGTGTGTACAACAGACTGACCCTCGGAGAAGTGTCTCCAAAGGTCGCATGGACAAGGGAGGTAGATTTGCAGCTGATGGCACACAGAATCCCCGAGCTTACCTGCTCTGGGAACCCTCATGGTCCCGCTGTAGTACTCATTGCGTTGTAGAAGTTTGTAAAGCGAATGCAGAAAATATCGGCTATAGAGAACAAACCTGTCCCATATAATCAAAGTTCCGCCATAGTTCCTGTCAATACAGTACGCATTTCGGCCATGATGTACTCGATGGCTAGATGGAGTGTTGAAGAAATACTCAAGTGGGCCAAGGTAAGGCACAGCCTGAATTGAAATTTCCAAACTGGTTCTATATCTTTTTTATAAGATTTTAATAAAACCTGCTGCCAAGATGGTAAATAAATTCTTATCAACTTACGTTTCGGCGTTATCGCCTTCTTCAGAGTTGGAAACCTAAAGATAATAGAGAATCTATCTTATCTATCTTATCTTAATAATAATATATAACTATCTTTAGGTTTCCAACTCTGAAGAAGGCGATAACGCCAAAACGTAAGTTGATAAGAATTTATTTACCATCCTGGCAGCAGGTTTTGTTAAAATCTTATAAAATTAATGCAAAGCTATGACAAGATTTATCGAGAGTCGAACATGGACGCTTATGACTCTATGTCAACTAGGGGACAGCATCTAACGACAACTTCACTTCATTCTAGGCTGATGATCAAATTCTGAAATTCGGAATGGAAGTTAGTTCAGAAAGTGAGCTTCGCGAGAGCCAAATATCAACGATGTGCTAAGCAATACTAGATCGAACCGAAGATAAGGTGGATCCCGCTAAAGGATTGGTCATGTTGAAGTGCAAATATCCAGGCCCTTTGTGACCACGTGCAAATTATTAGCCTTGCATTTTCATTTTGTTTGTTTTGTTGATTTCTCGAATCCGCTCTCATGTATATTCCTGAAAGTCCCCTTGTGAAGCTTGTGCTCATTTGATATGGGTAGCTGTTAGTGATCTTTTATGAATCGTCAGTTTTTAGCGCATCAAAAGAGGCTCTTAAGCTGACAGGTCATGCATGTTCTACCGATTCATGCATAGATAAGCAGCTGAAAGACGTGTTTGGGAAAAGGTCAAATGCCCGGATGAGCAAGTACGACCTCAATAATAAGGCAGAAGGAGCGAAAACATTTGCGAGCTGTATACCAATACAGAAAAGGTGTCAATAATGGGAGAAGGGCTGCAACGTAAATAAGAATATATGCAGTAAGAAACATAAAGATCAATGAATGAATGATGGCAAAAATACAAAAAGCATTGTGCACACGTTAAACCTTAGAGCTGTTTCACCTTTGACAGATTAGACATTCTATGTCACACGAAAAGAGATTGTCAGATACCCATCCAAACGTCACACCGACTTCAAAAGAAATTCATCGCACGGCGCACTCTAGAGAAAAACCTCACCTAATCTTGAATTTTCAAGGCTATTACCTTTATAGATCCCGGTTCGGTGGAAAGAACAGTTGAGTAGTAAATAAAGAAGAATATGCCAGAAATTGAAAGAAAAATTTTTGAAGAATTTTTCTAGTCTTTATCCCTTGACAATGAAACGGTCTGAACAGTCAGACCTGCTCTGATTGTAAGACCACTCTGCCTGGGAATCGTTATCCAGATTTCTCTTTTCAAATGGAGAGAAGCACTGGATAAACATGTGAGGGATTCGTTTCGCGTCCCCGCATGGATTCGTTTCGTGTCCCAGAAGCTTCCGTAGTAACGGCACAAGAAGATCTCGGGCTAGATTAGGGTTTTCCTTCCTATTGTACGGTGGAAATTGAAGCTGTTCAAGGGCTCCTACTGCTCCGTTATCTGACCCTACACTTTAGAGTTAAGAACCGCCACTTTCCCAAGGGACGACTTCCATTAGTGCTTCTTACAAGCTGCATTTACTGACTTTCGATTGGAATCTGTTCCTGTTATCCACGAAATCCTTGTGCATGGTTTGGGCAACAACGGGAGCCTTTTTCTATTTGACACGAGCAGCCTCCTCAACTTTTAAGATATGATACGATGGTGGTCCTCCGGTGTTCAGCCATGGACCAAAGTTTGAAAAGCAGTTCCAATTTTAGTTCTCAGTCCAAAGAAGCTGCGCAGCTTTCACATTTCCTTTGCCATTCAAAAGAAAGGTTCACATAATTGAAGTCTCCGTCATCAATCCTGTAGAAGTGTACTAAATTTGTACACTTAATCTCAAAAAACTATTCGTCTTGATCTTCACTTCCGGTCTATGTGGCGTACGGTAGTCCGTCGATGACCTACCATCGATGCCGCCGACCCCTCGTTTGGAAAGGACCTGCTTTGTCGTCTGCACTCTCCTCATTTCCGTAGACTCTATTTATTTTGCCAGTCCCTCGCTTTCGACAAAACGCTTCTTTTTTCCAGCCATCAATGAGGAAGAGATCAAGGCAATCTACGACTATAGACGATCTGAAGATCAAGAGAAATTCTATTTCAAAATTGCAACCTCAATTTCCATTCAGTTGGATAAATCTCTTGGTGCTGTCACATCTGTGGTGTTTATTTGACAACTTTCCGGTTCAGAAAGGAGCTAGAAGAGGTTATAACTCATCTGCTCCTTCCAGAGAAATCAACGTAGACACCTCCGCTTTGGGCTTGGGTAAGGTCAAGGTAAGGTTCATATAAGGCAAGTGTGTACAATGGTTCAGTCATGTGTGCTAACGTCCTCCAATGCTATCAAGTAAGGCCTAAAGCTGAAGCTCTCATCAGAGGCATTTCTGTAATGATATGAAAAATCGACTCTTTAAGGGGGCGGAATTTTCCGCAATAACTCGGGCATATTTCCCGATCTGTAGCCTCACATAGTGGACGAAGATCTCTCCAGAAAGCGAAAATCTGATAATTTTAAAAATTGTATACGATCCGAGTGAACATGAAAAAGACTAGGGCTCCTTTGAAACCCGCGATCCTAAAAAATAATAGTACTATTATACATTCTGGGAGAAATTGTGCTCCGCTCTCACTACGATTCAATTCGGGACGAAAAACCGTGAAAAACCGTAAGAAACGACGAGAAACCGTAAGAAACACTCCAAAGTGGTCGAGGAGCCTAGAAGAGGAGAGAAAGGGTCATGATAAGCCATCACTTTCCAAGGCGCTGGCTTTAATCTGTTCGTTGAGTTACCACAACAGACCGCATGGCGAAAAAAGAAAATGACATCAAAAAATAGTGATAGCACCGAACTGCTTACGTTTGAGTGAAGCCAAAATTGATAGATAAGATTCAGATAGCGATGAACTACGAATATGTTGGTTGGAATGGCTACAGCTTGCAGTAAGTCGAAAAACAGCATAGCAACATCCTGAAATAAAATTACTTGAGACATACTACACAATCCTCTGCTTCAGTGCTAATGTGGAGGGGATGATACCCGACAAAAAGTCGCCGCATTAAAATAATAGTAATAACAAGTCTTAAATAGCAAAAAGCGGTTATATATAGCATCCTATGCCTATATGGTATAGTGGCAAGTAATGTACTATCTCACACGCACGGTCAGGCGCTCGAATCCTTTATCGATATTCGCCTAGGCCAACCAAGCCTTCCATCCCTCAGGGGTCGGTTAGTTGGTACCAGACGTGTCTGGGAGGACATGGTCTTGTACATCGGCTGGCCACCGCAAGTCATTGTATAGCCCACATACGCACTCATTACGCCACTACGATTCTGAATGGAAGTTGAGTGCGTGGCGCATCCCCCAGACGGGATTGATTAACTCCGAAAACCTTATACACTATCCTTTATCCCGATATCGCGGGGCATGGTAAGATTTCATCACGAGAGCCTCTCCCGATCAGGAAAGCTTGGGTATAATAACTGGCCGATAGCGCCATGAATACCTATGAGTATGAATACCTCTTTTTTCATTGTCATACCGAACTTCCCATTCGATGCAACCAGCTGACCTTTAATTACTAACTGAAGTTGAGCGGATACTAGTTAGCAAGCATAATGCCTACTGGATGATTTGACAAAGCACTTTTCATGGTCAGAACTAACAAACCGCGAACCTAGAGCACTGAAGATTACTTTCATAGATAGTAAAGAAAG